AGCTTTGCTCTTCATACGTTCCCTTGTAGCCCAGTTCATCTGTATTTACATAGCTAGGAAATTTTATTTTAATTGCATGACTCAGAAAAAGAATTCTACAGTGATTTCTCTTTGAGAAACCTATAAAATACGCCTTTGTCATGAATGTAAGTGGTTTTTGAGAAGTATGAAAAGTTTTAATCTTTTCAATTTCTAAATTTAATCTGTAGTTTGCTTGAAGGTTCAAAGATTCTTAAGAGTTTTGCTTTTCCTCAAGTGGATAATATAACTTTAAAAGAAATGTGCTATGAATGATCGGGTATTTTGTTAATTTTTCAAAATTTTTTATTTTATTCAAATTGTTCAGTTAACTTTAGACTGGAATTATTACAAATATATGTTTGAACAATTCTTTTTGCTTATATGCCTAAAAGAATCCTGCAATATTCTTTTTGAGTTTCACATTTTGCAGTGTTACAAAGCAGTGAATCTTTGCCCATGCGCTTGGAACTGTTACATTTACATTATTGGATTGATAGTTTCTTCTCTGCAATCACAAGCTTTGTGGAAAAAGGCCAAGAGTCTCTATTTGAGGTCTGAGGAAACTGTCGTTGTAGATCCAGCTGAGGTTACCAGAATAGTAAATATTGTCAGAAAATTCATTCCTAGTTAGAATACCTGTGAGTTAATTGGTATGTTATTAGGTAATCTATATGGCCCAGCTTTAGAATTTTAATATTGCCTAGAATTTACAATATGTATGAGTTGTAAAATCATTGCAAATGTATGATTCTGTACCTTGCCTTTTGTATTAGTTTATTTTACTTCAGTCACTGTACAAATATGAAAGGCTATGTAAGTCAGTTAGGCATTCTTAAAAAATCCTAAAAATACTTTATAAGGGGTACCTGGGTGGCTCAGTGGATTAAGTGTCTGACTTCACCTCAGGGTATGATCTCAGGGTCCTGGGATTGAGCCCTGGGTCAGGCTCCACCCTCAGCAGGGAGTCTGCTTCTCCCTCTCCCTCTGCCCCCCTTAAATAAATAAATAAAACTTAAAAAAAATACTTATAAACTCTTATAATTTTTATTAAAAGGTCTGTCGATAGAAGTACTTAAATATATCCATTTGATCCTCATTATATACAGATTGTGTATTTGTGAATTCACCTACTTGCTGAAATTTATTTATAGCCTCAAAATATACTCACAGTGCTTTTATGATCATTTGTAACATGTGCAGAGCAGTGAAAAATTTGAGTAGCCTGATACATTCCTAGATGAGATTGAACAAGACCAGTCCTCTGCCTTCTTGTTTCAGCACTCATTCTGTAAACAAGTATCCTTTTGACATGTATTTAGTGGTAGCCTTTTGGCATTTTGCACTTTTTGTTAGTGATTTTGCTATTAAAAATCACCCCCAAATGTATTGCTGAAATGCTATCTAATGTTCCAAAGTGCAAGAAAGCTATGCTATGCCCTGTAGAGAAAATACATGTAAGCTCACTCAGGCATGAGTCATAGTGCTATTGGCTGTGAATTCAGTGTTAATGAATCAGTAGTATATTAAATAAGGTGTCTTTAAACAGAAACCCACATAAAACAAGGTTATGTATTGAAGGGCTGACAAAAATGTTGATGAGAGATTCACAGGAACCTAACCATGTATTTTCCCTAGGAACAGTGATTCATTGTTCACAAATTCATTGTTTGCAATCAGCTTTATAGAACATCACTGCAAATAATGAGAATCCGTCATACTTAATTTTAAAATTAAGTTATTAAAAATTAGCAATTATATAATTTTTAAAGTATGTGATTATCTGAGACCAGATGATTAATGATTTTGGGGTAGTTGAGAAGAGGAAGGAAATGATTCACATGCATGCAGAAGCCGTGAAACCTAGAGAAACAGGAAGCACGTTTAGTTAGGAGCCATCTGGCAAAGATGTGGTTCTTGGATTCTCACTCAGACTGTGCATATCAAAGAAAACTAAATCACGTCCACAGTTCCCTTCCAACTAAAGCAGTCTTTTATTCTTTAGGGTCAGTCAGGAAAAATAAAGGGTCAGATGACTAAAAATTCTTGCTTACCACTGAAAATTAGGGAATAATCATTAGGGGAGAAGAAAGCCCTATTAGTTCTAGATTGCTGATGACAACATAGAGTTGTATATAATGAGAAGCACTATTGCAGAATTAATTTCTTTGCCTTCTTTGCATTTGATACACTCTGAGGTCAGAGTACATAGCCTTAAATACCAAATTCTAAAGCTAATGTCCTCAGTGGACCACTATACTAATGTTAGTAAACTGGCTCTGACCTATGACACATGGACTTGTAGTAGTCACAAATATGCTTAAGAAACTCATGGAAAACGAATTGATCATCTCATTCATTCACGTATACAGTGTTTCTTGTAATCAGAAAGTATATTTACATGGTTAAGAAACAAACAAAACATGCCCAGAAATCTAATAATGAAAAAGAAATGAACTCTAGCCTATCTCTCCTAGTATCCCCATTCTTACTTCCCAAGAACATTGTTTTTAACTCTTACCTATTTCTTTTGTTATTTACCTCCACATTATTAAGCAGTATACTTAATGCAGCTATTTCTTGATTTATCAATTTTGGAGCATACTTATTTCCTGCCATGACTTTATACCTGCCCATTGGTCATTTAGCTTCACTATAGCTCTGGCAGTAGCTTGTCTTCCAGTTCTGGTGAATTTTCTATTTTATCTATTTTCCTCTGTCTTCTCTCTCTTGAATTTTTTTTTTGTTAGTAATTGGCATTCCTTGACTGATCTTTTATATCTCTTTCATGTTTCCCTTTTTCTGAATGTATTATTTACTGTTTTCTCTGGAGTCCTTTTCTGTAAGTGTGTGTGTGTTTCCGTTTTTCTGTTTGTGTCCCTCTGTCCTTGGAGGCTTTCCCTTTGTATCAATATTGTGGTTGCCTGTCCATAGTTAAGAGCAAGGTACTAAAATATGGGTTGGGAGTTCTGTGCATAATTAGGTACAAACTGGAGAACTTCACTTTAGGGCAGTGTTTCTCAACCTGTTTTCATTATCACTTCCTGAAGGGGTATATTTAACACATTTTTTTCTCCTAATTGTGGTCCCTTCTTCCCATGATATTTTAATGCCACAAGATTTACTGTATATGTTTATATACTGTGAAAGATTCAAATATCAGGAAGGGTTTGGGCAATGTTACTTCTCTGGACTACTCAGTTGCTACGTCTGTTATTCTGTCTGTAGTCATTCTTTGGGAAAAAAGGTTATAGAAAGAGGTCACCAACCATTTACAGACCTTGAATTAACCTACCAGTTTATAGTCCTATATAACTCCTGCCCTCAGCTTTACTAGAAACTTGTGAGTCCTGAGCCTCTTCTTGTGTCAGTGGAGCAGATTAGCTCCTTTATGTACACATCCCCTTCTTTGAGCACTATAAACCAATATGTTCATCTCCCTTCACTGAACATTCCTTTCTTAGGTTTTGGGTTGCACAATTTTATTAAATCTGTAATTAGAATTTTAAGATTACTTTCCATTTTTATTTGTTATAGTAGTTTTATCTGTTTTCAAATCCTTAACATTCATTTGAGACATCAGAACTGAAAGGAGGTAAACACTGGTGTTTGCTTTTCCATCTTATCTGGACATCCTTAATAGGCTTTAGCATTTAGCATTTTCACATATTCCTAGTTGATACTCGAATCATATTTTTTTCTATAAAATACCTTGAACTCTTTCCATTTATTTATTTCTTTTAAACTTCTCAGCCATGATATTATGCCCTACCAAGAACTCATAATGTGACCTGTGTTTATCACTTTTATCAATTATATTATTTCATCTTCATACTGGGTCAAGATTCAATAAAACTTGTATAGGCAAGAGAATTCTTTTCTTTTTTTGGATTCTAGGTGTTAGAGAATTATGCTGAAGTAGGTATTAGAGCTTGTAAAGATCTCAGAGAACTTTCTAGAGCTGTACTTTCTAAGATAGTAGCCATTAGCCACATGTGGATGCTTAAATAAAATTTAAAATTCAATTCATCAAACTGACCACATTTCATGTTCAGTAACCATATATGGGTAGTGGCTGCCATCTTGGATATCATAGATACAGAGCATTCCCATCTTTGCCAAAAGTTCTATCATATAGTACTGTTCTAGAGAATAGAAAGTACAGCACCATTCTGTATCTTCCAAGAGATCAGCTAGTTTCTTAAGCCTCAACTTTGTAGGAGTTTCTTAATCTAGTGAGCGTATAGGACTTGGCTGAATAGATATTAACGTAGAAGGAAAATGACTGATACCTTAAAGATATCCATGAAGCTTTAAGGAGAAAGTGCAAGTCATGGGACTAGCTATTGTCTAAGTAAATGCAAGAGACAGCAGCTAGAAAAGCATCATCATAATTGTGCAATAATGCTCTCTTGTGCTGATTCAAGGAAAAGCTTCAGGAGGTTGAGAGTCGTAAAATACTGTATGCAGATATAGTGTCCTCCTCATCCTTCAGAATTTTACTAAAGGGTTTCAGCATGGCAACAAAATAGTGCTGATAAACTATTGTTTTGAGTGGGTATATGGATAAGCTATTATCCAATTCAGAATATTTTTCTTTTGTAGGTTGTTGATAATTTGCATTATATTTAAGTATGGCATATACCTTAGAAATGTAGAGCAGGAAGGACTTTAGAAATTATCCAGTCCTATGCTCTCATTCTACAGGTGGAGGAAACTGATGCTTTAAAATAGGGAAGTAATTTACCTGAGGGCACACAGTCATTGGGGCTAGAGCCAGCCCCAGAACCAACATATTTTGAGTTCATGTGTAGAACATTTCCTGTGGTACTATGCTGGTGACAAAGAAGGAATGACTTGATTCATTGTGGCCTATTGAAAGCTTTAATAATCTACCTGTGAGGCCCAAACTGGTAACATAAACTTTTAAGAGTATGTAATTTGGGAACTATGAATTTCATAATGTGTTTTCCTCTTTTTAGAACAACAATTTGTAATCTTTATACAATGCCACGAATTGGAGAGCCTGTCTGGCTTACAATGATGTCGGGGACTCCAGAAAAGAACCAGCTTTGCCATCGTTTCATGAAGGAGTTCACTTTTCTAATGGAAAATGCTTCCAAAAATCAGTATGGCTTTCTCTCTTTGTCTCTCTTTATATCTTAGATATTATTTACTATAACTTGATATTTAGATTGTGATCAAATCCATTTACAAAAGTGAAATAATTAACTGGGTTTTTAGGAATTATTTCTTATTATTAATAACCAAAACAATTCTAAAAGATAATTAAGAGATAGGATATGGATGAAGGCCACAGAAAACAGTAAAATGAATGAAATGAATAAAAAACAGTAAAAAGGTCTTTAATTATGTCCCTGACAACTTACAGAACTCTCTGAGGCTTCCCATTTTTTGGTGAATTGCATCCACTTACACAGTTTCATTCTATAGAAAATAAGTAAAAAAAAATGAAGTGCCAGGATTCCAATGATACATATTTAATGTGATATTTTATCATACTGTTTGCTTGTAACCATTCATCAAATTCCTAGAAGCCATCTTTTTGATGGTAGGCAAAGTTTGCTTAATACTTTCCTTCATTTTCCCATTCAGTAATTTGGAAATGTATAGTCCTGTTGGTTGATTCATTATAAACACTGAAAAGAAACCAGTTTTTCAAGTAAAATGGCATTTTTGCTTTGTAATTATGATCAGATACAGCTCTGTGTGAATACTGTTTTTTTATTTTAAGGATTTTTTTTTTAACTCCTACCCATCCAAAACCTTTATTTTCATTTTCGTCCAGGTGATATGCCTGTCTTTTCTTCTTTCCTCTCCTTTTTTTATGCTGTTTGGCCCCATGAGAGTATGTACTCTCTCTGCTTTATTCTGTCACGGCATTTTACATGAGGTTTAATGAAGGCAGAATGGAGTCTGATAGGATGTGTTTTGTTTTCAGATTCTTACCAGCACTCATTACTGCAGTTCTGACCAATCATCTTGCCTGGGTTCCAACGGTCATGCCAAATGGACAACCACCTATAAAAATATTTTTAGAAAAACATTCCTCTCAGAGTGTGGACATGTTGGCAAAAACTCATCCATATAACCCACTTTGGGCACAACTAGGTATGTAGTCTGAAAACTCTTACATGATGCATAGCACTTAAACTTTTGTGTAGCTGTCTGGAGTTATTTTATAGCAAAAACAAAAATTAAGAAACAAGATGTTCTCTTTTACCTCCTCCATTCTAAAGCACTTCTTCTTTCCTTGTCCTATTCATGTCTGCGAAATCATCTCCATCTTTGGTCTAATATCAATTTCTTCTAGATACACAATTGCAGTGAGAGCTAGAGAAGCAGGATCATGACTGATTTACTCATAACGTCAGGGTGTTTAGGGAGTTTTAGGTTAATGTACTTTGCCTAGAAAGAATGAATCACAGTCATCTATGATAGCAAGAATAAATTTGGTTAACTGAGAAGCAGTCATTGAGGTTTCTGTTTTCCACTTTTGCTTGTTTGTTGAGTAATTTTGGAAAATGTTTCCCTTATTGCGAGTCCCCGTTAAATAAATGGGTAACCCAGGAGAGAAGGGATGGTTGATGAGTTGACAGTCATTAGGAAGGTATTGTAGCATGGTGCTTAAAAGTACAGGATGTGAGTCACACAGACCACATGTGAGTCACAGTCTGTTTGTTTATAATTTGGGGATAATATGTAGTACATACTTCATAAGGTTACGACAAATTAGAGAATACCTGTAAAGTGCTTAAGAACAGTGTCTGGTAAATGTGACTGCTGTTACTCCTTCTCTTACTATTAGGTCGTGGGGGAGGAGTCCAGTGAGGACATTTTGATGACTTGATAGAAACTTCTCTTAGGTTGTGCTGATGAGTGAGCTTGCCAGGCAGGTTGTCATGTAGCTTATTCATGTAACTTCCCTCCCTTTCTCTTTCTCCCCTCTCTCCATCCCTCCTTTACTTTCTTCTACTTAATTGAGGAATAATTGACACATAGCAAACACATATATATACAATTTTGTAAGTAGTGATATTTATGTCAAAATATAAATACCTCTGAAACCATCACCAAAATCAAGACGGCAAAAGTTCGAAAAGTTTCGAAAAGTTTCCTCATGCCCTTTTGTAATCCCTCCTTCCTGTTTCTCCCCACTCTCCCTGTTCACCTTCCACCCCTCACCCCATACCCAGGCAGCTACTGGTCTGCTTTCTATCACTATAGATTAGTTTGAATTTTCTAGATAGAAATGGAATCATACAGTACATGCTTTTTTTTGTTGTTGTTCTGACTTTTTTCATTCAACATAATTATTTTGAGATTTGCCTGTGTTGTTTAAGTACTAGCCAATGCCTTTATTATGCTGGGTAGTATACCGTTGTATGGGTATTAACTTAGTTTTTTTCAAATCAAGTAATTCAGTAGCATTTTATTTTTTTGGACATTTCAAATTTATTTTCAATTCTGTAATCATATATTGAGTGCATAATATATAAGGCCCTATGCAAAGAGCATTGGAGCATATAAAGATGAAATGTAGTTCTTGGCCTCAAGAAGTGGACAGTTTAGGGTGCTTGGGTGGCTCAGTTAGTTAAGCGACTGTCTTCGGCTCAGGTCATAATCCTGGAGTCCCAGGATCAAGTCCTGTGTCGGGCTCCCTCCTCGGGGGGAGTGTGCTTCTCCCTCTGACCTTCCCCCCTTCTCGTGCTCTCTTTCTCTTCTCATTCTGTCTCTCAAATAAATAAAATCTTTTAAAAAAATGGACAATTTAGGGGCTCTTGGGTGGCTCAGTAGGTTAAGTGTCTGCCTTTGGCTCAGGTCATGATTTCGGGGTCCTGGGATTGAGCCCCTCTTTGGGCTCCCTGCTCAGTGGGGAGTCTGCTTCTCCCTCTCCTTCTGCCCCGCCCCCCTGTGCATGCATGCTTGTGCGCTCTCTGTCTCTTAAATAAATACAATCTTAAAATAAGTGGACAGTTTATTACTGAAGGTAATAAATATGAGGACAATAATGATAATTCAAAGAGGAACTATAAAAGAAATGAAAAGTTCAGTGAAATTTCAGTTAGGGAAGCTTACTTTTGCCCAAGGGAGGATGCTTGGGTAGGAAGCTTTGGACTGGCAGAGAAACAGAGGAAAGGGCAAGCACATAGCATGAGGAAAGGGGTCTAGGTGTTAAGAGTGCTGAGTTGATTCAGTGTTCTGGTTTAAGTAGTCTGCTTTAAGTGGGACTTAGTGTGAATAATGATGAAAAAGTGTAACTATAAGAAGATAAACCTGGAAAAGTAAAGTGGAACCGGTCAGGAAAGACTCACTTGCCATGTCAAAGCAGTTCAATTTATTTGGTAATTCATGAGAACCTTAGGAGTAGTTTTGGACAGTGGCATGTGATGGCATTAGAGCCAGTGTATTAATTAGAGGAGAAAAATTGTCATGGTGCTGTCTATAGCATATATTTATCTGAGACCTATTTGTTCCCTTAAAAAGTGTGGGAGTTAGGCTTTAAAGTGTGTATACAGACAACTTGCTAAAATTGAATTATATTTAAATTAATGACTTTGTATTCTCTATTTTTAAGTGTGCTTTGGCACCTTTTTCTGCATCTAATTTGAGTATAGCATAAATATAGAAATTACATTGATAACTCTTAGGTTCCCATTGCCCTTTTCTTATGTGGATACAAAAGTGAAAATGAACCACATGGCTGAATGTGTTGCCCCTTCTTTTCCTCTTAGGATAGGTCTCACTCTTGTCCTTTCTGGTCTTTTCTGAGTACCCAACCCCCTAAGAAATAGAAGGGCTTTTAAAAACATGGGAACTAGGTTGGGGTCCTAGGTAGGGCAATAACAGTTAAGGTTCACAGATGTGATTTAATCAAGAAAGGTTAAGTGTGTGATGTGACTACTCCAGTTCTGCTCCACGTTCTACCACTACTCCCTTTTCTCCTTGCCCCCCAGTAGATACTGTGCTTTCTCTTCTCTGCATTAGATGCAGCTATAGAATCCTTTCGCATATAGTTCTTTAGGTAGTACTTCTCTGCCCCAGTGAAGTGCTCTGCATGAGGCCTGGCACAGAGAATATTCTTGGTCGGTGTGACTTTCACAATTAACTCTTTGGTTGAGGTTTCAGAACCATAGGAGCTCCTTAAAGAGGAAACTAGAAGACCCCTCTATTCACCTTTCTCTTTGGTAAATACCATTTATCTCATCCTATCCTCCTGAATAGTCACTCACCTACTAAAGAACTAGAGTAAAAGCTGAACTAACCCTCATACAATAAGAGTAGGTATCTGATTATTGGAAATAGCCTGCTTGGCTATGTGAGGAGAGGATGTGTTCATTAACTGATTCTTCCATTGCAGGGGACTTGTATGGCGCTATTGGTTCTCCTGTACGGTTAGCGAGGACTGTGGTGGTTGGCAAACGACAAGACATGGTCCAGAGGCTGCTTTATTTTCTTACTTATTTTATAAGATGCTCTGAACTTCAAGAAACCCATCTTTTAGAAAATGGAGAAGATGAAGCCATTGTTATGCCAGGCACAGTAATTACTACCACTTTAGAGAAAGGTGAAATAGAAGAATCTGAGTATGTGCTTATCACAATGCATAGAAACAAAAGCAGTTTGCTCTTTAAAGACCCAGAAGAAACAAGGACTCCTAATTGTAGCTGTAAATATTGCAGTCGTCCACTCCTTGGGCAAAATATAGAGAATGTTTCACAACAAGAGAGAGAAGATATTCAAAACAGCTCTAAGGAGCTGCTAGGAATTTCAGATGAGTGTCAAATGATTTCTCCCTCTGACTGCCAAGAAGAAAATGCTGTTGATGTTAAAGAGTTCAGAGATAAATTAAGAACTTGCCTTGACACCAAGTTAGAGACCGTTGTTTGCACAGGATCTGCTCCAGTAGACAAATGTGCCTTGTCAAAATCAGGCTTAGAGCCAGCAGAGGAAACATGGCATAATGAGGAATTGCTGGGTTCAGGTAATCACACAGGCAAAGTGTTGAGATCCACAGGAATGGTTGTGGAAAAAAAACCTCCAGATAAGCTTTTGACTGCTGCATTTTCTTGTGAAGCATCACAGACAAAGGTTACCTTCTTGATTGGAGATTCTATGTCCCCTGACTCAGATACTGAACTCAGGAGTCAGGCAGTGGTGGATCAGATTACCAGGCACCACACCAAACCACTGAAGGAAGAAGGAGGGGCTATTGATCAGCAGCATCAAGAAACTAAACAAACAGCTAAGGACCAATCCGGCGAGTCTGATATACCAAACATGGTTTCTGGAGAAACCTGTGAACCTCCCTGTTGGAATCATTCAGACCCAGAAAGCATGAGCTTATTTGATGAATATTTTAATGATGATTCAATTGAAACCAGGACTATTGATGATATTATTGCAGTTAAAACAAGTACAGACAGTAAAGAACATTGCTGTATGTTAGAATTTTCAAAAGGATTGTGTACAAAAAATAGCAAACAGAACAGTGAATTTTGTAAATGTGTAGAAACAGTTCACCAGGATTCATGTAAAACCTGCTTTCCTCAGCAGGACCAAAGAGATGCACTCTCCATTCTTGTCCCCCATGGGGATAAAGAGAGTTCAGAGAAAAAAATTGCTGTAGGAACTGAATGGGACATTCCACGAAATGAAAGTTCAGATAGTGCCCTTGGGGATAGTGAAAGTGAAGATACAGGTCATGATATGACTAGACAAGTAAGCAGTTACTACGGAGGAGAGCAAGAAGATTGGGCAGAAGAAGATGAGATACCTTTTCCTGGGTAAGTAGGAAGTTTTTAACCTATAATAGACCCTATGTAAATACCATTCTTCTGTTTAGATGGTCTCTGAAGGTTGGTGGTAACTAATATAAAAGAAGAGATCATTGTCCTGGACAGATTCTCTTCTGTTACTGTGTGGTTTTAAGGAAAGATTAAAGGCTGAGCCCCATAGGTTCCCCAGAAACGTTCTGTGAAGGTATTAAAAGCATATATGTATGTAGGAGATTCTTTCTGCTTAGGAGTTTTCAAGTCATTTAGGAGTGAATTATGCCCCCATATATGGACCTGTGCTGAGCCCGGCAACTAGAGAGAGGTAATCACAGAGAAAGTAGGAAATGGCTGTTAGGAATAAATTTGGTGAAGACTAAAAGAAAAACAGGAAATGTATACTGTGGATCAAGTATACAAGGAGAAGATTCATATTTGAGAAATGTTATATTCCATGCTTTGGGTTTGTGATGTATTTAATATTTAGCTACTTTGTTTTGGATGATGGTTTTCATTTACTGATTGTATTAAGAATGTATTACAGGGCGCCTGTGTGGCTCAGATGGTTAAGCGTCTGCCTTCGGCTCAGGTCATGATCCCAGGGTCCTGGGATTGAGTCCCGCATCAGGCTCCCTGCTCCTTGGGAGCCTGCTTCTCCCTCTGCCTCTCTCTCTCTCTCTCTCTCTGTCTCTCATGAATAAATAAATAAAATCTTTAAAAAAAAAAAAAAAAAAGAATGTATTACATACACAAGGGACAGCATTCCGGATGTCTCTTATGAAAGATTTATACTCACGTCATTACACAGTTGTTCATCCACCTTCTTTTCAGGATAGGAAGGAGTATTTTGTGGTCTGATTTATCACTTAGGCCAGTTTTTACTTAAGGATGATTTTACTCTGAGTATATTTTGTAGAAAATGATGGTACTAGAAATACAGACTAGTAGAGTCCAAAAATTTTTTTATTGATAAAATATGTATTACTAATTGGATATGCCTTCTTTTGGGACCTTTCTTCCAGGTCAAAATTAATTGAAGTGAGTGCTGTTCAGCCCAACATTGCCAACTTTGGGAGGTCCTTGTTGGGTGGCTACTGCTCATCTTATGTGCCTGACTTTGTTCTTCAAGGAATTGGGAATGATGATAGGCTCCGTCAATGTCTGATATCAGATTTGTCTCATGCTGTGCAGGTGAGTTACCTTCACTGCTCTTGAATTTATTTAGAATGAACTTTGTTAACCGGTAGAACCCCCAAGTTACCGTATATTTTTGGTCATACTTCACTATGTAACACAATCATTGTTCTCTTAATCTGTCACTTTTGTACCTGTCACCATGAAAGCAAGTAGAGAGTTTCAGGAATCTATACAAACATAAATCTTTAAATACAGAAAGTATTGTATTCATGGATGTTCATCATCAGGTCATTTATGATATCAAAAAAATTGCAGATGCTTAAATGTGAATGCAGTTCTTTTCTCAATTTCATTTTCAGATTGTTCATTGCTTATATAGAAATACAATTGATTTTTGTATATTGATCTTATATTCTTCTACCTTGCTGAACCTTTTTTTTTTTTTTAAGATGTATTTATTTTAGGGGCGCCTGGGTGGCTCAGTCATTAAGTGTCTGCCTTTGGCTCAGGCCCTGGGATTGAGCCTTGCGTTGGGCTCCCTGTTCTGCAGGAAGCCTGCTTCTCCCTCTCCCACTCCCCCTGCTTGTGTTCCCTCTCTCGCTGTCAAATAAATAAATAAAATCTGTAAAAAAAAAAAAAAAAAAATTATCTATTTTAGAGAGAGGGAGGGAGCATGTGAGGGAGGGGCAAAGGGGGAGGGAGACAGAGTCTTAAGCAGACTCTGCATTGAATGTGGCGCCTGACATAGGGCTCGATCTCATGACCTTGAGATCAGGACCTGAGCCGATACCAGGAGTCAGATGCTTAACCAACTGTACCACCCAGGTGCCCCAACCTTGCTGAACTCTTTTATTAGTTTTTGTAGTTTTCTGTGTGGATTCCTTAGGTTTTTCTACATACACGTTCATGTCATTGATGAATAGACAGTCTTGCATCTTCCTTCCCAGTCTGGATGCCTTTTGTCTTTCTTGCCTGATTTTATGGGCTAGAACCTTCAGTACAGTGTTGCACAGAGGTGCTAATAGTGGACATCCTTGTCTTCTTCCTCATACTAGGGGAAAACATCAACTCTTTCATTATTAAGTATGATGTTAGCTGTGGGATTCTTAAAGATGCCCTTTATCAAATGGAGAAAGTTTCCTTCTAGTCCTAGGTTCTTTGTTCCCTCCACCTTTAAATCATGAACGGATATGGCATTTTGTCTAATACTTTGTCTGTGCCTATTGATATGATCATTTGGTTTTTCTTCCTTAACTGTTAATGTGATTGATGACATTAGAGGTGGTAGATTTTTAGATGTTAACCAACTCCTGTATTCCTAGGGAAAAAATCCCACCTGGTCAAGGTATATAGTTCTTTTTATATACTACTAGATATGATTTGCTAATATTTTATTACAAATTTTAGAATCTGTATTCATGAGGGATATTAGTCTATAGTTTTCTTGTGATACATTTGTGTAGCTTTAATATCAGAATAATACTTGCCTCATAGAACGAGATGGGATGTGTTCCCTCCTCTGTCTTCTGGAAGAGTTTCTGAAAGATTGGTATTATTTTTTTCTCCAAATGTTGGATACAATTCACTTGTGAAGTCATTTGAACTTCCTGGACTTTATAAAATGAGAATATTTTAAATTGCTGATTCAATTTCTTGTTCTAGATCTATTCCAAGTTTCTATTTCTTCCTGAGTCAATTTTGGTAATTTTTGTCTTTCTAGGAATTAGTTACATTTAAGTGATTTCATTTATTTGTTGGAATAAAATGGTTCATAGCATACATTTATAATCTTTTTCAAAAATTTTTTTCAAAGATTTTATTTATTTGAGAGAGAGCAAGCGAGAGAGAGAGAGGGGAAGAGAGAGCACAAGTGGCAGGGAGGGGCAGAGGGAGAAGGAGAAGCAGATGGCCCTTGAGCAGGGACCCCAATGTGGGGCTCAATCTCAGGACTCAGGGATCATGACCTGAGCCAAAGGCAGACACTTAACTGCCTGAGCCACCCAGGTGCCCCTATTTATAATCTTTTTATTTTCTGTAAATTCATTGGTTATGCCCCCTCTTTTATTCCTGATTATTGTAATCTGTGGTTTTTCTTTTTTTCCCCTCCTAAAAGTAGCATATTCCAAAGAAGATTTCATTCATGACTTGACTTCATTTTATTTTTGGCCCATATACATCAAAGATGAGTAGGCTGTGGCCCATGGTACAAATAGGCTTGCTTTTTTAAATTAAGTTTTATTGGAACATGATTACATCCATTTGTTTATATACTTTGTGACTGTTTTCCTGCTTTAGGAGCAGAGTTGGGTCATTGAGACAGAGACCTTATAGCCTTTAGAGCCTAAAATGTTTTCTCTCTCTGGCTCTTTATAAGTTGGCTGATTCCTATCCTAGCTGAAGGTGTGTTAATTTTATTAATCTTTTCAAGGAAAACAACTTTTGTTTTCACTGATTTTCTCTAGTTTTTTGGTCTTTTTTTTCCTCATTAATTTCTGTCCTCATCTTTATTATTTCTTCCCTTCTGCTTGCTGTGGGTGTAGTTTGCTCTTTTTTTTGTTAAGGTGGAAGATTAGGTTATTAATTTGAGGTATTTTTTCTTTTCACATATAGGCATTTAGCTCTAAATTGTCCTCTAAGCACTGCTTTAACCAAAGATCATAAATTTTAATCTTTTGTTTTCATTTTCATTCACTTCAAAATATTTTCTAATTTTCCTTGCTATTTCTTTGACCCATGGCTTATGTAGAAGTATGTTTTTGATCTCCAAATATTTGTGGAATTCTTAGATTTCCTTTTCTTCATTTCTAAATTGGTTCCATTGTGGTCAGAGAACAAACTTTATATGATTTTAGTCCTTTTAAATGTATTGAGTCTTGTTTTCTGGCCCAGCATGTGGTGTATCCTGGAGAATGTTGCACATGTAGTTGAAAAAATAGTCACCTGTTGGGGTGCCTGGGTGGCTCAGTCGTTAAACGTCTGCCTTCGGCTCAAGTCATGATTCCGGGGTCGTGGGATCGAGCCTGCATTGGGTTCCCTGCTCAGCGGGGAGCCTGCTTCTCCCTCTCCCTCTGCCTGCCACTGCCACTGTGCTCTCTCTCTTTCTCTGTCAAATAAATAAATAAAATCTTTAAAAAAAAAAAAAAGTTGCCTGTTTTTGGGCGGAAAGTACTCTAGATGTCAGGTCAAGTTGGTTGTGATAGCCTTTAGGTTTCTGTGTTCTTGCTGATTTTTCCACGTTCTTGCTGATTTTTTGTGTAGTTGTTCCATCGTTTATTGAGCATGGAGTATTGAAGTCACCAGCTTTTGTTGAGTTTTCTATTTCTTTCTTCAATTCCATGTGTCATTCTAATAATTTTTTTTTTTTAACAAAACCTCCTTTCCCGTTGTGAGAACAACATCTTTAGGAATGGAGAAAGCCAACTGGAAATCATGGGTGAGAAAATATGGCTCACTGAGCAAGTATTCCCTTAATTATTAGCTAGAAAGGTTTAAACCTCCTGTGTTTGTAGTAAATTATCTTAAGTTGTAAAGTTTGGTGTTTTATTGTATAGTAGGGAAATTTAGAAAAATCTAGATATAAAAACAAAGTTTAAAAGAAAACTTATCAAAACTCATGTCTTGGGGTGCCTGGGTGGCTCAGTCGTTAAGCATCTGCCTTCAGCTTGGGTCATGATGGGATCGAGCCTCACATCCGGCTCCTTGCTGGGTGGGAAGCCTGCTTCTCCCTCTCCCACTCTCCCTGCTTGTGTTCCTTCTCTCGCTCTCTCTGTCAAATAAATAAATAAAATCTTAAAAACAAAGAAACAAAAAAACTCGTGTTCTTTATATTTAAAAGCCATCTTGCTCAATGCTTTAACACCAATCAAATAATACTTACTGACATATTGTGTTCTGAACATGGTGCTGATCATCCAAGGAATATATGGTTGAAAAATAAATAACTTCTGAAGTTATTTACTCAGTAATGGAGGAAGTAAGGGATGTACGTATATGAATAAGTGTAGCACAACACATAAAAAAATAAATGCCTGAGACAGATACTAATAAGTAATTTAATGCTTCACAGGAAAAAATTTATATCACTTAATGGTATTTGTTCTTCAGAATATAGCAACCTTTTCTATTTTTTTCAATTCTGTCCTCCCATTGCCTGATACAGTACTCAGTATTTGTTGAAATACTTGGTTAGGAAATCTGATGTGGGTCCTTGTGATGCTCTTTGTGTCCTCTTGTCTTTCTTTATGTTTGATCTCAGTCATTCAGTGTCTTTTTTTCCCCTCCATCTATACCCATTAGCACACACTACATTCTTTGATGTTGCCTCTGGAAGCCTGGAACTGGAGGGGGTGACTGTCTCCTATTGAAGACAAAACATTTCTGTTTTTAAAGGGTTTTTACCTTAGGAATAGGACGAATAGTAATAATAATAAGCATTTAGTTTTTATTGTAGCCTTAATGTGTGTCAGGTACTTAAATGTAATACCTCACTTAATTTTATGGTACTTACTATTATCATTCCTATATTTCAGATATAGCACAGGGAGGTGTTTGCAGTTATATTAGATAGGGGATGGCAGAGCTAGAAAGCAGTCCTGATCTGCCTGTTCTTCAGCAATGCTCTTAAGCATCTGTGCTTAATATATACAGAACACTGTCTCTAAAACAGATGAACAAAGGTAAATATAAATAAAGTAGCAAAATTGGCATTAACAAAGCTTGCAAGACTTTTATATTAGGAGTTCCACTTCTATTGCTCTGGGAATCATTCCACTATGGTGAAAGGTAAGAGCTTTCTGTCTTTTGCCCTTTGTTTTCATAACTGGGTTTCTAGTCTTTCCCACTTATATTTTCATTTAAGTATATAAGATATTTTACTATTAAAGCAGATCACAGAAAATTTTGAAGAAATGAAAAAAATATGAAACTTAATCTTAGCACTAACAGGTTGGATTTTTTATCATTCGTTTTTCTCTCTTCATTGTAAAGTTTACAGTTAATGATTTTAATTATTGTTTGCTAATAATTTTTTACCATCACATTTAACATGAGAACTA